TGTACATGAGAACATCAAGTAATCAAGCGCATATATGCATGTCACATACTCTACATGACACACTGAGAGCGATGCGGAAGGGTCCTGTGTCAGAGACGGATATATGCAGGATAATCTCAACAGACCTTGGATGCTCGAGCCGCCACCCCACATTGAAGAACCCTTGCAAACTGTATGGACAGGCAGGAGTCGGTGCCGCAGCTGTCGCGCGTACGAATACATGTAGTCAGGTGCGCTGCAGCACGAGAGAAAAAGTGCATATACATACGTTTGTGACATATTGAGCTTAGCGAGACACGGCGGAGATACCGTTCGGAGGGAGTAAGCAGAGGCGGGGTATGGTGGTGACCAGGAGGAAGAAGCGGCGAGAACGGAAGACCATCGACGCCTTCTATATATGCAGTTTCATAAAAGGAAACTCGCCGGGAGTGACTTTAGGGGAGGTCGAAGGAATCTTGGTGGGCAGACGGCGTGGATGCGATGGGCGGCGAGAAACACGTCTCGGAAAGCGAGACGGGTGACGTCATGTCATAACCGAGATCTGGGCGAGCGACTCATGTCGTGTTTAGTGGTATCAGGATAGGATCCAACTTATAATAACATACCGGTCTGAGTTACGATTTGCAATGCAATACCAGTCAGGTATCGCGTGTCCTTGCATTGCCAGCATTCGCCATCCTGTTAGGCGCTTGCCTGGCAACTCATCCCTGATCTATAACCGATTTTTTTGCTGATGTTAGGGCCTTGCAAGATGCTGGGATACCTCATACCACATACCACCATGCGTGTCACGGTAAAATGCGCTTTAATAAGTAAAGGACTCATTTCCCGTTAGCTTGGTGTGGAGCCAAATTAAGTGGTGAACTGTACAAGAAAAGGCTAGCAAATCACCTCTAGAACGAAAGAAGATATCCTTCTTTCTGCAGTTCAAAGACAAAAGCTAGGGAAGATGCTCAACCAGCTTCTGGCCAGCTTTACGAGAGCGAAAGTGCGACTCATACCCAGCACATGTCACTTATCTGATCTAGATGCAGCCATTTAACTTTGCATTTCAACTCGATCTTAAATAGAATCTAGTTATGTAGTAACAATACGCATGGCCCCACACATACAAGGTTCCATGCGAAGTGAATAAACTACTGTGGCAGCCGTAGAAACAAGCGTCGTGTTATGGCATATGGCGACAATAAAGGTACCAAAATAAAGATACTGTCGAACGAAATTTCATGCAGCCTAGGCTGCAAGAGGTACCACTTGACGAACCCGGAAGTGGACTTGCCAGTCTCGCACAGCCACAGGCTGTAGACCGACCAGCTCGAGGTCGAACAGTGTGATGGCACCAGGCCCCAGCCTCCAGCGAGTGTCAGGTCCCAAATATTTCGTCAACGACTCCTGTAGATCGTGTCAGCGAGAGCGCGGAAGGTCTAGATAGAGAGGAACATACGTCCAGGAAAGTCTGTGTGTAGGAACTGACACGCATAGCCAGATCTGCCCAAGTGGTGCCGGAGTGAAAATGTATGGAGACCGACCAGGGCTCGTAATCAGGTCACTAGATGTATTGTATCCCCGTAAGCATTGCGGCTGGCAGGTCTCGAACTTGTCTGTGTACGCACCATGATTCTCAGAGCCATGCACCCATAGCACTCAATGATGTCGTTCGAATTTTGCAACTCCGAAAACCGTTCATTGAGCGCGTCGAGGCAGTTGATCCCACAACCGCGCTGGCCCAAGACATTGAACATAATAGGTGACGCGTTCGTGCCTGCCAGCTGTCGAGCCTTCGGGGGTCGATATATAATCTGGGGGACAAGACGCTCGACGCCAGTGTACACGCTTGCCAGGTTACGGACGGTTGGCGGTAGACTGGTGCGTAGACGATTAACAGGTTGAAACATGCACCGAAGACGAAGATATAGGTCCGGGGAGCTGAGCCTATCTCTCGGTCGCTCTTTCCAGCAGAGATTCAGTAAAGACCACAAAGGTAACGGAAGTGGGTGCATAGTCGTGTGCTGCGGGGGGCGCTCGCCTTCGATAATCGCGAACGTAGCCTTGATTGCCGGATAATCGTGGAAAGGGGCATTGCCGTCAAAAATCTGGTTCAGAGACATGTGATCAGCTGAAAGTCCACCAAATATGAGACGGTACTCACCGTCCAAACACACATCGCAAATGGGTGAATGTCGCTTTCAGGAGTGTGCCGCATATGCTGCAAATCAAACCTTGCCGGATCCAAAATCTCTGGTGCCATAAATGAAATCACACCAGCAGACGCAGAGCTAACATTGATGGAAGATGCGTCGGAGAAATCTGACAATCCAAAGTTTGCAAGGCGGACATGACGGCTGGCGTCAATAATAATGTTTCTCTAGAACAAGATTCAGAATGGAGCCATAGATAGGAAATGCGGACGAACCACATGCAGGTCTGCATGGATCACATTCTTGCCATGCAGGTACTCTAATGCCAAGGCTATCTCTATCACCTGCGCCTTGGTCAAATTTTGTACCTTATAATAAGCACTGATACATGCACGAATTTTTCGACTTCGCTGAGAATAAAAGAGTTGGTTCGTATCACAGTTTACCATGGACAAAAATCAAAACTCGCAGCATAGTGCAGAAACTCGCTGCGCGTGATTGACAACTAGTGAGGATATGTGCACAAACGTGAGACTGTATTCACTTTTGTGCACATTATCACACTTAAGTGCGATGAGGTGCGCAAACGTGCACGTGCGTGCACTTTTCCCGCAAAAAACTCGCCATACCGGCATAAAACTCGCCCTCGCTCATGCTAAACTCGCTAGGCGTCTGTAGCGGTGCACATGCCTGCGCAAAAGTGCACACTTGTGCACGTTTGTGCACCAGCGTGCGCGTAGGTGAAAATTCCACCGTTTAAACTCGCACCAGCAGGACAGAAACTCGCGTGAGCTAGTCATGAACTCGTATGGGCTGGGCATAAACTCGCATAGGCTAGGCAGAAACTCGCGTATGCTAGACAGAAACTCGCGTAGGCTAGGTAGAAACTCGCGTAAGCTAGACGCAAACTCGCGTATACCAGAAACAAAACTCGGATACTTTGGATCGCAAACTCGCTCTCGGTTTGATCGAAAACTCGCTCCTCCTTCGATCGAAAACTCGTTCCCACTTTAATCAGAAACTCGTTCTCGATTCGGTTAAAACTCGCTCCCGCTTCAATTCAGAAACTCGTTCTCGGTTCAATTGAAAACTCGTTCACTTGCGCGTACACGTGCACGTACGTGCACTTGTATACCTTCGGTTTTGCAACCAGACTCTCACATTGGTTTGCGCGAGTTTTAGACAACGGATAGCGAGATCATCGTGAATGGTTGCGAGATTAAGGTGAATCCGCGCGAGGTTGAGCAAGTTTAAGATCCCTCTGCGCGAGTTTTTGATCATGGCACGCGAGTTTACGATCCGCCTGAGCGAGTTTATGATCGTGGCCCGCGAGTTTACAATCAGCCGGAGCGAGTTCATGATCGGGGCCTGCGAGTTTACAATCAGCGAGTTTATGATCGTGGGCCGCGAGTTTACAATTGGCCCGAGCGAGTTTATGATCGCGGCCCGCGAGTTTACAATTAGCCCGAGCGAGTTTATGATCGTAGCACTACCGGCATCCCCAGATTTCAGGGGGCCCGAAATGTCCCAGACAAGGCATCCGAAATGTAACATTTCGGGAGACTTTCCAGCAACTTTCCCGAGTGCTGAAATGCTCACTTTTCTGTCACTTTTGAGGCAATTTCTCTTGTCGGAAAAGGCTGTCTGTCACGCGCTTTGAAATAAACCTGAAACATCCCAGTTAGGCAGGCTGTACTGGTCATATGAGTGTCCCGGAAATTGCCGGGAAAGCCATCATTACTGATGGCTTTGTAATACATTTCAGGACATCAGGAACAAGCGCTTTCGGAGATTCGGAAATTTAACAGACCAAAAAACTGATGATAGTCCTGAAATACTCTTAAAATGTCTCGAGCAGGTATAATTAAGGTGCTCATAAAATGTATGTAACAAATTACCTTTTATGGTTGCTGAAACTATAGCTGCCATGTCCATTCAGGCCCATT